GACAACTGGGCAGGAATGTGGGTGACATTTCACAGAAAAACTCATCAAAACAGATGGAGCTGAACAGCTTATTGGAGCTGAACATTGTTCATCCTAAACTGTGCCACAAGAGAATGTAACGTTCAGGCCCTTGTATAGCTTTCACTGATTATGCCAAATTTCTTGGTATTTTTATTTCCCTATTTCATTTACTGAGTTTATAAACAACAGCCTGTGTTGTACAGCAGCTTCATTTCTAATGCTGGCAGAGTTCCATTCTGGGATTAGCTGTAGCTTTTGTCCAGGTAACCTGCAGAGTTCAGAGCCTCAACACTAAACGCTGAGGAGATAATTGAAACTCTTAATTTCTTTGAGTTTGCCTCCTCTGTACTTCTGCACTGGCACCATCTCCAGCCTTGGATGTTGATCAACTCTGCAGGAACGCACAAAGCAACACACTTTTGTTGTTTTGGCTGAAAACTCATGCCAAGTATTGAATTTCTCGTTTTGTACATAAAAATAAACGGCCATTTCTGATGGAGCAAGGGATGACACAGCAGGCCATCCCTCACAGTCCTGCTGGCATCTTGGCTTCTTCCCAGCCTCCAAAGAAATAACACATCCCACAGTCATTGTGAGAAGTTATAGCACCTGTCTTTCTGCTTTGGGCTTTTGAGAGATCCTGAGCTTGTCAGTAAAATACCCAGGACGTCTATAAATAGTAAATTAGGTGATAATAGCATTGTTTTTTGACAGGTTCCTGCTGTTTCCGAGGCAAATTCAATAGGTCTAGAGAGGTTTAGCCTTTATGTGGGAAAAAATAAATGATCTGATGAAGCAGCCTGAGAAAACAAAGTACAGCTACATATCACTTGTATTCAAGGATAACTGATACTTCATATTGGAGCTGGCTGAGCTTGATATAAAAATCAATATATTTGTGAGAAATGGGAATACCTGAAGTATTCCCAGTGCTTTTGGGTGACGTGGCCAGGCACAGCCCAGTCACACATCCTGGCTGTCCCTGCTCTCTGATGTCCAGCATCAGATTCTTTTTAGTTCCTGCCCAACCTGGCAGATTATAGCTGCTGTCACTGAGACAACATCAAGGAAGCACAGGAACATGATTAAACTAGGCAGCCTTGAGGGAAGTCTTCAGAAAGTGCTTGAACTGGGAGTTTGTAGGGACTGAGTGGCAGAACTGAGAGCAAGGATTTGGAATAACTTCTAGGCTCCACTGAGAAAGTAATTTCACCTGTCTGAACCTCAAAATTTTCCATTTGCATACCACTCCTACCATGCAATGCTCTTCCTGAGAGGTATATGATCACGTAAGAAGCTTTTGAAATTCTCTGTGAAATTGCATTTTTTAAGGTTATTTGGCTTGCAAACCTCAAAGGAAGGAGCAGAATCTGAAAAGGCATTGATTTCCTACAGTCCTGAACCTTAAAAGAGAGTCCTAGTTTCTCATGAATATATACATTTCTCTTTTTAAACATTTTACAACCATTTATTTGCTATATGGCTTCTTAAACTGGATGGCTTTACAAGTACATGCATTAAAATCAACATTTTTCAAGATTAGTGACCTCTTCCTCCTGTTTTGCAATTTTTCCAGCTCTTTTTCATCTACCAAGACATTAAAAACAACACCAGAGTTCTGTAAGCTTGGCTTTAACATAAACCCAAACTGCTGCTGCACGACAGGACATAGAAAAACATAACACTTTGGATTTTGGATAAGGAAGCTGAATGCAAGACATTTATTTCTCCCTGCATGTCATTTCCCATCACTTGGGATTTGGAAACTGCCAAGCAGCTACAAAGCCAAACATCAGAGTAGAAAACTTCCAACCAGAATCAGCCTCCAGTTCCACTGGCTCAGCTCCACCTGCCAAGGATGGATACGTGGGATTGGCCTCATCCCCCTTTAAAATTGCTTATGATTTCCTGTGTCAGCTCCCAACGAGGCAGATGGGGGTAGTTCTGTCAACAAAAGGTTGGGATGAACAACTAAACCTCCACCAAGGGCAGCATACAAACAACTCTATTTAAGCAAACAACTCTATATCCTGAGGTCAGTTATTTATTACCTGCAGCATCTGGAACATGTGCTGTTGCTCAAGGTCAACACACAAATGGTGGACAGTCACACCCAAAGAAGAAAGAAACCTAAGCTTTTTTTATTTCCATACTCTGTTGCCTTTAGTTGCTCTCACACAATACTATAACACCAACTGAGTACCACCAGAGTGCAGCTGGAACTAATATAATGTCATTTCGGTAAAATAATCAAATCACTCACTTGAATAACAGACAAAGAAAGCCCAACCTAAGAAGCACAAACAAGGGGGAGAGATGATGCCTGCAGTCAAGACATGAAAGGCAAACATAGAACAGATGAAGGCCATCAAAGAACCCAAAGAGAGTGGTTTCAGGACAAAACTTCAAGATTCACACAGTTGGCTATGTACACAAACATCTGCATTCCCCAGCTACTGGAACATTCTCACTTGGATTAGCTCCACAGTCAGCCAGCATTGCATCTTGATCACAATCAGACTATTTGGGATGCCATTTCAATAAAAAATATAGCAGCTGAAAACGTTCTCTCCTTTTCTGCTTATGTTGCCTGGAACGTGTTGTGCTCTGTGTCATACTGATCCTTAGTTCTCCCCAGCAACAATACACTGTATTTCAGGGTGCCTATTGGTATTTTTTCCACAGTGTGACAATCTAAAAGCAGCATTCAGCTTTTTTACCTTGCTCACTAATATCAAGCACCTTTAAGTGGGCACGACAGTGACACGTTCTCAGCACACAGCTGGATTTCTAACCACCCTTTTGAACTATGAAACCACTCTAAAAACAGACATTTAAGATACAGACCTCTCCATACACATATCTGTAATAAGGACAGTTCTGTCTGGGTTAAAAAAAAATTTTAGAGGGGTAGCACATAACATTCTTAGCATTTATGTGCATAGTACACATAGATCCACACTTGCACTCTCTGCATTTAGCACTGATATTCCCATTCTTACTTCTACAAATGCTGATGCAAAGCAGAAATATATGAGATTAGACCCAATGATGTAATTTAAACTGGCAAAGCAGTACCCAGACATAACCTGACCTCCATAAACCATTTTATCCTTTGTATTTAAAGTAGTCATCATCATAAATCTTATCCCTCCTCCAATCCCAGTTATTATAGCTGCATGCAGAAGAGGGCTCTCTATTCCAGTGCTGATATTTTGTTATCTGACAAACGTATTCCATTCTGGACTCCCTGCAGTGCTGTTTCCCTGGCTGCATTCCCAGAATCCCATGCTGCATCATCTGTACAGGTTTTCTCCCTGCTTTACTCCTCCCAAGCATCGTGCCTCTTTTATTGGCTCATGAATCTCAAATTCCTTTGGATACCACTCGTCACTATTAAATTTGAGGATTTACACACCGATTAACTGCAGAACAGGATCTGGTTTTTGGTTACTGTGAAGCATTTGTGCTGTTACAAAACCCATCGTTTTCTTCCAGGGGTATATAAAGTTGTTTGGGGGTTTTTGGTTGGCGTTTTTTTGTTCTTGTTTTTGGTTTTGTTTGGTTTTTTTTTAACAGAAATCTCTTTCTGGTCAGTAACATTGTTCTGTCACGCAGCCAAAACCTGCAGAGGCTGTGACAAATAGGGAGGTCACGGTCAAATTTAATAAGATCTCACATTCCCTTGGAAATGCCACCAGGGAGCAGACAAAAGCAAGCGTTTGCTGAGCTCCCGGGGGAAAGCAGAGCGTTTGCACAGGAGCCCTTGGTATGCAGATGGTGTCGCTGCCTTTAGAAACAGGCTGGGGTTTGAAAGCAATGGGAACAAGCTCCCGGGGCGAAGGCTGAGGGGAGAACGCGCCCCGCGGGAGCTCCGGAGCACAAGCTCTACATGAGGGTGCGCAGGGCTGGCTCTTTGTTCTCACGCCTGCTGCGTCCCGGGAACAGCGGGATAACCACTCCGCTCATTCAGCAGAGGGAGAAGAGGGAAGGCTATTGATTGATAGATGGTGAAAACCCAGCCAAGCGAGCTCTCCGTGGGATGCACTCTCGGGAGCGCTGGGCTGTGTGTCCGTGCGCCCCGACGGGACGGGCGCGGGCCACCGGCGCCACCGCCTGGCTGCTGGGGGGGTGCCCTGACGGCGCCCGAAACCCGCAGCTTCTCCCTTTTACACCTTCATTTTGCTGGCTCGTGGGGTGTGGGATGCAGGGCGCAGCGTGTGCCTGTTACAGCAGGTAAGTCATGGCTGTGCTGCCAAGGGGTGACAGGGAACGCTCCCCTGGGATCTCGCTCACAGCACGTGGCACAGGCTGTCCTCCAGAATCTTTGTATGTTGTCAGAGACTGAAACGGTTCATGATTTAGGCATTCTAGGATTGCCAAGGGACTTTTGCAGACTTCTGCAGAACTTTTGCATTATACCTCTGATGGCCCATCAAAGCCCATCTTCCCCCGTGCCAATCTTGAAAGGCGGGAAAAACCCTTTTGCCAGGCCCCTCATGAAAACTCAGCACAGACCCAGGAGATGTTGGAAGCTCATGGCATGGCCTGTGACACTAACCATGGATACAGTAACTCATAACTTCTTTGAGTGTGGGGGCTTCCCTCCTTCACCCCCCATGGATCAAGGCCACCACTTCAACTGACAGACATGGAAGCTGCAACTCCCAAGTTCCATCGCTGGACCCCTCTCAGCTTTTCTTCCCTTACTCTCCCTTACCCTTATCCTGTCTTTCCTTTCTCTCTCTTATGCATTTTTCCCCCAAGGGTTATCCCTATGATAGATAATACAGATGACAACACCCAAAACGCTAACATACCTGTTCAAACGAAATTGTTAAAATAAACCCTACCTATATATGTTTTCAGACACCGATTATTCAGTGTCGTTTCACTCTAATCCACTCCAAGGGAATTATTGATAAGAACCTGGGTTACCCCCCCTCCCCTTTTTCTGGGGCAGGTCGTAACATATGTACCTGTGCAGGGCTTCAGTCGACTCTCTGCAAGCTCAGAAATGGCTCCTGTTGTGATGGTCTTCTTCAGCCTCAAGACTCCAGAAGCTGCTGCTGCCCCGGGCTTCGTGAGCGTGTCCTCGCTGCTCGCCCGCTTCAGCTGCAACACAGACAGGGAGCAACCGCATCAGGACCTCGAATATCCCCATCAAGTAGTTCAAAATGCAGGGTTCCTTGGAGAAAGGGAACATTTCCATAAAGGAAACCCCACGGGAAGATTGCTTTGATAACCGTACTACGTAATTTTCGGTTTGCGTTCTAGATTTCTGTGGAGTTGGTTAAGAGATAACGCTGTTCATCAGTGAGGAGTGAAAATGGGAAAGAGTGTTCAAACAGGCAAACAATTGAAAGACAAGGAGAAAATAATTTACAGGAGTAGTTTATTGGGCAGCTCTGCCTTCTCAGATCTCACTCTGAACAGCATTCATCAAAGTTCCTCACTGGTTTATGTTGAGTTGGGTACTTGGGCCTGTGCAGAGAAGTGCCAGTTATAGAGCCTGACACACTATGGCAAAGCAGCAAATAACTGGTCCTTAATCTATCTATCAAAAAAAAAAAAAATCCTGAAGGGATCTGCTGGTTCACAAAGTTTTGCCCCAAGAGTGACTTTAGATCCTCTGAAGAGACTTCTGAGCTATTCCAACAAGCAACTGCCAGTTCCTTCTGCGTTTGACAAACAGGAGTCACCAAACTTCGTGGCACCATAAACTAGGTGACAGAGCAAAGAACAGGTGGGAGACCAAGCTGAAATCTGAAAAAAATCAATTAGCTGAGAAGCTCAGGCTTATGATAAAACACAAGAGCAAGATCTAATGCAATTCCCAGTTGGAAACCCATTATCTTACACATGACAATTGCAGCTCTTTACCTCATTGTTTACTGAAAAGTCATGAGCAAAGATGCCTGATGATCTCATGGCAGGACCTAATACTGTTTGTTCTACTGGGGACTGAAGGACTCAGTAGAAGAGAAATGGAAAAGTCTGCTCACAAGAAATGATTTTTTTCTCATTTCCTTTCATTAAGGAAATAATTCAGAGCAAAAATAAAAAATCCATTGGTTTTCAGAACGGATAAGTTGCAGAATTCTAAAGATTAATACTGATTACTTTCATAGGCTCAGAAGAAGCCTATTTGATTTACAGGGTATTTTACAGTATTATTAAAAAAAATATATCAGCAGATATCACTATAACTTACCCAGCTTTATTGTACATGAGAATACAACGGACCATTGCTGCTGTGTGGTCTTTTTTGGGAAGAGATTTCTGGTAATGCAAGACTACTCTAAGTGCCTGCTCAAGGAACCCATGCAACACAAGCACCAGGAAGGTAAGATTCAAACAGAAACACTGAAATTATGTTGCTTCAGCAAGTAATAGTTTATCTCAGAACTTTTTTTATCTCAGCTGACTTCCCAGCCTCTAATTAATTTCGGGAAAAATACTTTAAGCATTTTAAGACCAAAGCTTTGGAGAGTCTCCCTAGAGCAGTACATTTTCCTATCCTTTTCAGTTTGTGGACCCCCAAGCTGTTTCCACAAATGAAAACCCACTTCCTTTGAAGCTGTCCAGTGACACCCAGGGGGTCCCTGAAGCACAGGCTGAAAACCCCTGCTCTGGTTAAAAGCAAAGAGAGCACACAACAAGCACTGTCCCTGTTTAAGTGGTTCCTGAATGTGAAACGCTTCAGCAAAATGAAATCTCTCAACTCCAATTCTTTTCCCCTTTCATCTGTTCCTTTGACTCAGAGCCTGTGGTTTCCTGGACCCTGTGAGCACATAAGTTTCCATCACTGAAGTGTTGATGTGCTCCAGGATACCAAACAGGGAACGTTTTGCCTCCTGGCCGAGGTTTTGTCAGCTCACTCTTAGGAGGAGAATGGAACAACCTGACTCTCTGACCTTCAGAGACTTCTGCAGTTTCTCTAAAATAATTTCTTCAATGTGTCCTCTCCTACAGCACCAACTATGGTGCCTTTTCTATTCCCTTTCCTCGAGGAAACCATTTTGATCTTGCATTTGCAGACGAACAACAATTTGAAGGTATTAGCAGTCATTAGGAAGAAATCTCTCTACATTTAACACTAAATTGAACAAATTAATCATATCAGATTTCCTGATTAGTCTCTTCAGTAGCACTCCTTCAGAGATGTGTGTCTTAGCCACACAGCACATACTTCTGTGCTGGACAGAACCTGCCTGGAGCTCTGGACTGAAATATCCAATTGATAAATGCATTTAGGAGTCTACACAGCAAGTTAAATAAATTAATCCTTTGCTCAAGAAACTGTGACAATTAATGCAGTTTACAGCTCCTCTCAATTAAAATACTGTACCCTGGTACATATTGTTCACTAAATTTTACTACTGGAAACAGTTTTAAGCAGGAAACCTGTGGTCTATTTTCATTACTGGTACTTCGGTCTGTATTTATCCGTATTTATTGCTATTTATCTGACCAGGTTATTTCTGTTTGCTGGCTGCAAAGGTAGAGATGCAGCAGCATTTCAGGTGTATTACTGCATTTTCTTGAAAACATTACTTTACCAGAAGTATATTTTAAAATATATTTGTACAGAAAGATACGATTCATAAAAAAAACATCTGTTCCATTGCAAGTAACAACTTTTGTTAATATATTTTGCCTTGCAGGGAGAGGCACAGGTTTTTAGGAATTCTGGAAATTCATTAATAAATCTCTTTGAATTTCTTTACACGTGTAACCAGCAGCTGAACTAAGAATTTGCCTTTTATCTTTCTCTGTCTTCAAAGTTTAGGCAATTCCCTCACACAGAGTGTGGAGATACAGTGTCCTCCCCATCACATGCAAAATACTTCCAGAAACGGGCATTAGTCTACTACACAACATAATTGTGATCTCCCTACACTTGATAAAGCAGTTGAGCTCACTCCAAGTCTCAGGGTGTATTATTCCAGGACTAAACCTAAGCTTTAACCTGGGACAGGGCTGGAATGCTTGCCCAGCCCCTGGGGGTCAGTACCTTGCTGAGCCGAGATTCAAAGGCCAGGGAAGTGGAGGACTTGGATGTCTTCATTCCTGTTGAGGTGGTGCAAAGAGATTTTCCTCTGTCAATCCCATGGCTCCCTTGCTTTGCCATTGCACTCCAAGGCCTGGCACTGCTCTTCATTTTCTTCCCAAATAACTCAGTCTACAGACCCTGAAAAAAAAAAAGAGTTTATATATATATTAAAAATATATATACATTCACACAAAAATATAAGTTGTCTTTCTGTTACCTGAAAGAGAGCAACTGAGATATCTGGCACCAGTTTGAAGAGCTGAAAAGGTTGTGCTAAACTTGATTCCCCCCCTTAACCACACCAAAACTCAGCCTAGAGAGTCCTTCAGAGCAGGCTGCAGCCACTTATATTTTTCAAACCAGCTGATAACATGAAGCACCACAGAAGGAACACTGACTTTTGTTGTGACTGTCTAAGTCAGAGACTTCTATCAGGCACAGCAGAACACCTGAGAATGCTGAAGCACAATGAAAGAGTGAGAACACTGAAGTCCACAGCAATTGAAAACAACCTTGGGATAAAGAGAAAATTATTTCTTTTACTGTTAGATCCAGCATCTTCAACTGAGTGAATACTCACTATTTAAAAGTCACATGAGAAGCAAGTTTCCTCAGTTAGATGGAAAATATAGAATCTGTAACTTATCAGAGTCTTCTAGAGAAGCAGCAGCTGATGTTGCCACAGTGATAAAAAGATGTTTCACAATACTAAGATTTACAAAACATGGTAAAAAATAATCAACTTCCTTGCAAACAAAGATCCAGATCCACTATTCCTCAGAGATGTGCTTATGCAAGAGAGAAATCCTGCCAGGAATCAGCAAATAGATGCAATTTCCTTTTTTTGGATATAGCTGAACACATTTCATGTGCCAGCAGGAACAACTAGCCTGTTTCTCTCAGCAGGCTGACAGCTGCCAATTAAACAGCTCCCTCAACTCCTGGAGATCTAAAGCCATAAATTTTCACCAGCCGTCGCCCAATCCAAACCACGAGCGGAATAAAAGAATTATATGGATATTTTTTTAAAGTCCCAGCAGCCTGCTGGGCTGGGAGTGGGAGGGAGGGGAGATTGCTTGATAACTCCTGCCCTCCTCCACTTCAGGATGAGCAACACTTTTCCTCATTTTCCAAAATAGACACAGGATGTAGCTGTGGATCAGTCTCGTGTAGGCAGAGGCCAACCTGCTTCTTGGCTGTTAAACAGGTAACCAGAATATCTGCACAGATCAGCCCAGTGCTCACAGGAGGAGTCCAGCTGGGCTGGTGGGGGCTTGGGCAGTGAACCCTTCCATGGAGAGGCTGGAACAGTTAATTCCTGGCTGAGTCAGCAGGAGGGCTTTGGTCACGTTTTACATCTCCTAATTTGCTTTGTGCTTCATTTCCCTTTCACAGATGAGAACAGTCCTTGAAGTCCCAGGACACAAACCTGTCTGGGGCCAAGGTGTGTTTGGCAGTGCCAGCCCCGTGCAGGTGCCAGGGAGCGATTCTGCACAGAGGCAGAAGGGGATGTCAAGAGCTCTGCTGCTGCTTTACTGAGAACAAAGCCAGCAATGACATTCCCTCTATTTGTCCTTGGTGCCTCTCACAGGGGGGGCTGTCTCCTCTCTCCACAGCAATAACCTCTCAGCTCCTAAATAAAGAAATAAAAAAGTTGGTAGTTATTGCTAAGTATAGTCATTACTCCATTAAAATTCTTAACACATCCAGCGTGGAGCCATCCCCTGATCTCCTTAGAGTCTTTGTTGGTGATTATGCTGATCACTCGGCTCTTTTAAAGCCCTGGCAGATACGTAAACTCTTCTACAATAGATAATAATGTTTAGTGTTCCCACAGCTCACCAGCCACCCTAGCAAACTCTGCTGCTTTACAGTATTTAAAAACCTATCATTTAATAGGCTTTTCATCTTTTTAACTGGCTTTTAACATCCACTGTATTTATATGGGTGAGCAAGCAACTACACAAGCAAATTCTCTTCCTGATTAGATCTCCAAATTATGCAGATTTTGGTTTTTTTTTTTCAGATCCAGTGGTTGCTCATGCATTTTGCTTTGTTATACCCTCTGGATTTCTTCATAACTATACCTCATATTTTCCTGCCTTAAGCTGTACAGATGCTTTCTTGGTATCCAAAAGAATTTAATTTTGAGTCATCCATAGCATCTTAAAGTTGCAGTGGAGTGATATGCTCATTAGACCATGATGTTAGAAGCAGAAGAAATAGGTTCTTAAAAAAAAAAAAAAAAAGCAAACCACAACTCAAGAAATCCAGCCAGTAGCCTGAGGTAAACTGGCTTTTTCATGTAAAAAATACCTGAATTATGTGCCATGTGGATTTAATAATATTTTACTACACCAAGCAGATGAAACTAAAATTGAGAAGAAATACCTGGATTTACTGGTGTTTATTATTAGTTTCCTATGTATTTCTGTGAGAACTGGCATTTGTAAAAGATGGAGGTAAGACTTCTCAGGTATTTGGCTAAGCTGAATTTGCCTTGTAGATAAAGATTTCCATCTCTGAAGTGGGATTCCAAGACTTTCCACAGGCCTTATACGTACTTCAAAGAATCAAGCCAGGTTGCACACATCCTAAGCTGCTTTCATTCCTAAGTAGGTGACACATATTTGAGTTATTAGAAGTACTGCTTCAGGAGTAGTACTAAATAAAACTACTTCCAAAAAAAAAAAAAAAAGGGCAAAAAAAAGTCCTGCTGCTCTTTGATGAGAGCGGGAAACCCATTCTCAGAGTCAACATCAGCTTTCCCTCTCCTCCAAATTCAATTTATTCCTTTAGAGTAAAACACACAAAACAAAAAAAGCTCCATGGAAGTGGTGAGCAGTTGGGACAACGGGAAACCCACAAGTTCAGCATTATGAAAAGGCTCCTGGCAGGTTAAGTAACAGGGAACTGGCAACCAAAATACAACTTAGATACCCCAAATGGCTGCAGCCACTTAGTAATTGGGAAACCCAACGCTGGCAAAGGGGTTTCTCTAATCCTGGTGTAGAAACAGCACACACAGGGACAGCTTATAGCAGATTACATTAAAAACATCAGATACAGCTCTTATCTACTTGTCTTAGAAGTAACTCTACTGTATTTTAACTAAATATCAGCATTTCCTTCCCCAAGGGCCACAGAGGGATTATGATTTATCTCCAGGCTACCCAGAGAGAAACTTGAAAGAGAAGCATCTTTCCACAAGGGACACAACCAAGCTGCTTCTGCAAATAGAGGGACAAAAATCACTGGTTTTACAGCCATTCTGTCACAAGAGGTTTCAGATGAGACACATTCCTGTCCACTCTCACGGAAAAGGACTCACTCCAAGCAACACCTGGACCTCTGAGATTTTATTTTTCATTTCTTCCCATTTCACAGGGAATTTTTCCTTAGGAAGCAAACAGAATCCTGAGATTCAAAAAGTCTTTCTCTGGCATCAGCCAGAGCAGGTCACAATCATTACCTGGCCACAATTAAATCCCTGTGGCATTCCCCACTTGGAGCTGTGCTCTGAAAACACGAGGAAGCAACTCCAGGCTGAAATAAATGATGGCTCACAGCAACATGTTGCTTCAGAGCAGCAAAATCAGTTCTATTGCCACTCACTTCCAAACTGCAGAGTTTTTCTGGGGTTTTTCTAAATCTTTTACACTCAAAAGTGGTGTCTGAATAACCCCTCTCCTCTGAAACAGGTGCTGCAAATGAGATAATCAGAGGGTTTACCAAAATGTAAAGCTGGTCCTGACAGAGCTTTTTCTCTCAGTAATCCTCTGAATTCCCTGCAGCCATCAGTGTTTAAAAATTCAAGCCATGCTCTGCAGTTCATCTTTCTTACTGGTATTTTTAAAGGGTGTTTGGAATATTTTAATGTGGACTATTTTGGCAGTTGGCAGAAGTTTTACAGTCCATTTTACTTGAAATTTTACTGTTCTATTAAAGACTGGGAACCTAGACATTTCTTTATTAATCAGTCTACATGCATTTATTAATAAAAGTTTTTGGAACCAGTCTAGAATAATCCCCATTTTATGGCTAGAAAACCTGGATTAAGACTTTATCCTAACTCACAGGCAGGCAGCATCAGCAGAAACAACACCAGGTCTGTGGGATCTTTAGACTTGGCTGTCCATCAAAGGAGGAATTCACCAGTTCTGTAGAACAAACTTACAGGACACACATTCTGCTGACTATTAAAGGCTATTTTATTCTGAATAACTAAAAGGAACAGACAGGTTGATTTGAGTGATGATGAGCAATGTTATTTCACAGTCAAGAAACCTTAGGAGTTACACTATTAAATAAATAAAAATCATTAGTATATCTGCAGAAACTAAATTACATAGCAAAAGCCCTTTTGAGGGGCTAGAGATGGAAGTTATGTGTACCCCACATCCTTTACACAACTCAGGTTTGGTGTCCATGTCTGTGTGTGAGAACAGAACAGCCAAACTACAGCAGAGCCACGCAGCAAAGCTGCCTGGGGAACATGAATGGAAGAGAGAAGTAAGAAAAGCCATTACTAAATCTGGAGAGGGATGTGCCAGATGGCAGGTTCACAGAGAGCTGGGGATGCCCAGCACTTCTGAAGAATGAGGCCAGAAGGACCAACTTTGCAGCCAAGACCCTCAAAGGACAGGAGTCTGACTTTGGTGGGTTAAACCCCACAGTCCCCTGTGCCACTTTCCTGTAATTCAGTTACTTTTCATTCCAGCAAAAGGTCAGACCCTTCCAGAAGCTTTATCACACTTTTTGAAATCAAAGCACGATTTTTTTTTTTTTAATGTAAAATCTGCATCATGCTTATATGATTTTCCTTCTAATCAACTTCTGCTATTTTCAGACAAACTATCAACTGGAACATAGAAATATCTAACAAGTTCAGTAAACTGTAAAGCATTTTCTGGCGGCACGTAGGAAGCTCTGTGGCAGGAGAGACAGCTGGGCTAAAATAGAATTCTCTTCTGCCTTTCACATCAATTAACTTTAAACAACAATTTTTAGGCCTGACAGATGCTTCCATATGACTCATCTTGATTTCTTAACTGATATTAGGAATCAAACCAGGGAAGCTGATAGTCCAAATACAGTCATTGGTAACTTGCAGAGAGATGGCACGGATAAAAATCCAGTTGGAAATAAGATCAGGCTAACAAATAAAAACAAACTGTTTATTCTTTTGGTCATCTCTAGCAGCTTTCCTCATACATCTGCTCCTTTCACCCCAGTGTGAAATATTTCTGTAGCTATCCACCCTCCCTTTTCTCTAATTTCTATTACCTTGCTTTTAGTGTCTTTGAGGCTCTCAGTACAACCTTCCTCCATTGCTCCTCCAAGCAGAGACACTTGCTGGATTTTTGCTGGTACAAAGCTTAGTTTTCATTAAAATTAGATTAAAAAACCCACAAAAAAACCTCAAACAAACAAGCCAGACCACCTTCCTCCACCCAAACACAACTCAAACAGAGGAAAAAAAAATACCCATTTCCCAGAACCTCATCTCTAAGGCTTCTCTTGCTTTTGCTGTGCAAAGAAAGGGAATCAATCACAAACCTGACCCCAAACACGGAGCAGTTTCCTCAGGTTCTACCTCAGCAGACCTCCTTTCCAATCTCATTTGCAGCTGAATTTTCATGGTTTGCTGGTGGAGTACCAGGAGACAAGACATCACTTGGAAATTTTCATGTCCAGACAGCAGGGCAGATTCTGCTGGTTTTATGCATGCCTCAAGCTAAGGTGGTTTTAGAGGGGTTATTATTATTTTTTAACTTTTAAGAGTGAAAAAAAAAAGGTGCTCTAATAATACAGCAAAGCAGCTGTAGAATCCACGTGATTTTGCAAGGAGTGAAAAATGTTGATAAATTTTAGATACAAAACAACCACACAGAAATTAAGACACGTACATGCCCAAGGTCACCCCTCTAGTCACTGGGAAAATACAAACCAAATACCAGTCCCAGGATTTGACCATCAGTGGCTCTAATACAGCTAAAGAGTCCTGTCTTCAAAATCTTCACTGTGCTAAGGCTGCCTGAAGGTTGTATCCTCACATGAAAGTTACTCTTTTGGGTTGTAGTTTGCTTCGCCTTTTTGCTTTAGTTGTGCTTCTGTAGAACTCTCAAACCTCAAAAGAGCACGTTAAATGTGGCATCAGATGAGAATTGTCTTCACAGGGCACATGGCTCTACCTCTACTGTATAATGAGCTCCTGCAGAACCAGTTCCTGTCCTTGCCCCCATGGTACCAGGTGGAAACACACAGATAATGGAAACTCCCTTGGAATCTCCCAAAGACAAAGTTACTTTATCTGTGGTTAGGTTGGTAAGAGACAGGCTCACATTTTGTGGTAAGGCTTTTCTTGCTTATTTCTTCAGTGTGTGTTTGATAAATCTCTAAAATTGGTATTTATTAAGTAGTATACAAATGTACTGAAAGGTTACAAGGATGTGTAAACTCCATCAGAGATGGCCAAAGTGAGGACAGTCCCAGCTGGCCACACGTGACAGGTTTCCAGTCCATCCCAAACTGCCAGAGGCCAGGTCAGCAACTGCAAAACCCCCTGTCTCAACACTGCTCAAAATAAAATCCTCTTCCCACAGCAACCATTAGAGTCATTGGTGAATTTTCCAGACACGGAGAGCAGTGCAAAAACCTCCTGCCTGTCCTCCTCCACAGAAGTTCTCCCTGGGGTTTTGCATTTGTCAGTCTTTCACTCACAGTTCGGTCACATGAGAAAAATGCAGAAATTACAACAAGATCCCCATGTGTGCAAATGGACAAAGAATGGATTTAGCTGCATTGCTCTTGTCTTTGGTCCACACTACTGGCTATTTATAAGACAGGAAAATACAGATCTCTTTGCTACTTCTCTGAAACTGTCATCAGCCCAGTGACCAATGCTTGAAACCCAAGCCAAAGCTGCTCTTGGAGATGTCTGGGAACATGCTCTTCCTGTAGTTTAAATTACACTGTTTGAACACGGATTCTCAACCTCCTCCTCCTCCTCCTTCCTCACACTGATTATCTAACCACTCACCACTACACAGCTCAGAAGAGAAACTATGCCACCACCTCCTAATGACCCCTGATCTTATAAACAGGAGGATAATGAGACAAAAATCCCAAGCTATCTGTAATTTTCTACACATTAGCAACGATGTGGCAATTCTGAATCATGTTCATCACATTCCTGATGGATGCACACAAGGAAGAACACAACTGGAAGGGTTGGGTGGCAACAGGCATTTGTAGAAAGACAGGCAGGGGCAGCACATCCTCATACTGGGAAAGGGCACATGAAAGCATCTGGTGGTGGAATGAATATACAGAGGTTCTGCAAGGAATCCCAAATTTTATCAAATCACATCAAAAGTATATCCAGGAAGTGATTCCACGCCACAGAATTCGGAGAATGCATTTTTTGAGTTGTAGTACTTTGATGTATGGCAGGCAGGGAAAATGTATCAGTTTACACAGTGCTAAAATCCACCCTTTGGAGACTGAAATCAAAGGAAAGATTCAGGAAAGGCTAAAAATGATGCATTGATTCCAAACTCCCTTTTTGAAGTTACAAGCATGCTGTAAGTGTTATAAAGAATTAGGTCACTCAGGGCTTTCCCCAATATGACTCTGTCCCAAATAGATGGGTTTAATTTATGTTCAATATACTGCAGGTTGAGAACAAAACATTTTAGAACCATTTCAAGGCAGCTATTGCTCATTAATCCAGTTTCTTTGAACTACTGTCCCAGTGAACACAGTACAAAGCAAGTGACACATATGGTCACTTCATGTTTTGCCAAGCCACAAGAAGGAAGAAAAGAAGGTTTCATTTCAGATAGAGCAAGAGCTACATAATTGCTGAAGAAATTAAGAATAATTACAAGTGGTTTGCCTAATAATTACCTGTCATTACATTTTTTTTCTGTAGTAGAGAGGGTAGATCCATCTAGAAGGAAGAAAAGGAATGATGGTGTTTTTTGGAAGGGCAGAGATGCCCAGCATGTGGCTACATGATTATCCTGACTGGTACCTGCACAGACTGGCACCTTCCCTGTCCCCTCAAAGCACAGAGGGATGATATTGCAGGCAACATGTTCTCTTGGAACTCCACCTGATTCTACCCTCAGCTTCAGCACAAGGTTATAGTCCCCCCTCAGCCATGTAATCTTCCTATGCTTTAGTTTTTCCATTTGTAAAAATGGGATAATAATTGTTCACTAAACAGAATATTTATGAAGATACACTCACTCATTTGTCTTAGAAAGGAACCCCACAGAAAAAAAAAGTAGAAATGAGAGAAATCAACATCTGTTCCACAGCAGCAAGTGAGCAGCCTCACAGATTGCCACATGCTGGGATGTTTCCCTGGCTCCTGCTTTCCATCCATCACAATGCAGAGGAATAATTGAGATCCAGAAGCTATCCCTTGAGGAGATATTTATCTTCCATTAAAGTGCAGAACAGCTCACTTGAAGTTAATAAACTGGGAACTTCTGAGCGTTTCTATGAGTGACAGTGTGAACCCACAACAGCAAGGGCTCTTTGCAGAGATGAGGACACAACCCCAGAGCTGCAGGAGAAACCAGAGGACTTCTGCATTTTAAAAATATTCATAACGAACAGGAACAGAACAGATTTAAGAAACAGCATCAACAGTTTACAACTGTGACTCTTGGTGACCAGTGGTGGACTGAATGACCCACCTTGGTGGGCTAAATAACACAATGAAATTGGTTTAAACTGAACAAGAAAGGGAAGGGGTAGCACCTGCCTCTGTGCATGTTAGGATGGGGGATTGGTGTGTTAGTTACCTGTCAAATTGTGCAAAGAACAGCATTTCAGTAAATCAAGTATCCTCTCTCCTGCTGAGGTTACAGGGGCAGAGAACACTTTATAATTTAGAAAGAGAATCATCCAAAACAGAAAGGATTAGTAGGGGACATGTAGAAGTTAGACTGTGTACCAGAGAAAGGGGTAGGGAATCCCTGTTTTCAAACCAGTTCTACCAGTAGTCCTTTACTGCTACACATACAGGGCTTAATTAACATCTCTACAACTTTGCCATATTACCTGCTATATAAATGCTGCTATTATTACAATTGTTATTATGATCAAGCTTCAGTCCACAGCACAATTTTAAGGACAACTGTTAAACTGCTGTAATTGAAGGGTCCTGCTGAGAACCCGAGCAGGTCTTTGCCCTGGTGCTGTGAGAGGGTACCTGTGCTCCCCAGGGCTTCACTGACCCCCTGCAGAGGCACGAGCTGCCAAACCCATTCACTTGGCAGCTTATTCCTTTCTGCCCTTTCCTGACTGGACTATGTGCACATGCAGCACCACAGGAGAGTCTGCTCGTGCTGCTGCTTCACTTAACTGTCTGAGAAGGACCGTAAATTGCCAGAGGAGAAAGTAGAAACAGGCAGAGAAACAGCTTCAACCCTTCTGTCACTAAATCTGTGTGGCTGAGCAGCAGTGAAATACAGTAGCCACCTCTCATGGAGGGATTTTTTCTTGTGGTTGTAATGGCTTTCACCCCCCCCATCTCATTTTCAGCTAACACTGACTGTTTACACCGTACATTTTTTGATTCAATTTAGTTTTAGACTGAGATACTATGAAAAAAGTGTTGTTGAGCAAAGCAGGTCCCTTCACTCCAAGAACACATCACTGACCCAAGAGTCCTTCTAGACATAATACAGTTCCCACTTAAAAAAAAAATAAAAAAAAATTAAAATACTTACAGTAAAAGCTTGTCCTCTTTTCTGCATTAAAAAGAAAACTGTCTCCCACTAGCTTCTGACAGCATGTGCAAGCCAGACTGAAAATTCAGAGCTTGAGTGCTTCCCTGAGAGGAAAACCACATTGCAGTGAGACCCAGAGAGCTGCTTGAGAAATGATTCACATACGGAAGCAGGCTGGCTGCACCGGCGCCTCGGCACTCAGCACACACACACACACATATGCACACTTGCTTACTCAGGGGAATGACAAATATTACATTTTCATCAAAGCAAGGAGGATTTATGCAAGAAAGTAATTTGTCTCCTGCGTACAAAGCCCTGAGATGCTTCAATCCTGACAGCAGATGAGGAGTTTTCTTTGGGGATCCCGTCATGCCAAGGGCAGAGCTGGACACTGGGCAGAGCACAAACCCCAGGCTGGGCTGAGGGATCCAATCAAGCAAAAACATGCAGCACACACCCGGGGAGGAAGGGCAAGGAGGTGGCACAGAGAGAAGGCATTTTTCAGAGGAAAACACACAAGCAGCTTCCAGAGGCTTTTATATTCCACAATAATAATCTCTCCCCCAGAGTGCCAGCAATCAGGGCCAGGACACCTTACAACATTTCCCTCAAAAAAGTGGAAAAGTGTGTGTATGTGTGTGTGCAGGGAAGGAAGATACATTAAGACAGAAGCTTTTACACAAGTAACTAGAATCAGTCTTGAGTGACTTCTCTGAGCTATCCAAAAAGGGTCAACCTGTTCTTTATTCAGAAGAGAGCAAATAAGGGACAGGAGTGAACAATACTCAAGAACATTCCTCTTTCTTAAGATTTCTGAAGAGAATTAAGTGTTTGAAAACAGGAAGAAAAAGGCCAGAGATCTTAAGAGAGTTAAAGAAGGCAAAGATGGTATCAAGTTGAAGGAGACAGAGGGGATGCAAAGATAAATCAAATCCAAATTTCAAGGACAGAAACCTAAAGTGTTTAGAACTGGGCTCTTTGTCCGACTGCCCAGAGAGGGGACTGGTCACACTCTGGTGTCTCTGACCAAATACATTCACAGACTGTGACTACAGATCAGGAATTCTGTCCTGAATTGGAGAGAGGGATCTCTCTCAGCAGCATGAATCTGGTATATAAACCATGTTGATGTGACAGTAGTAACCTCTAGTAGAGAAACACGGAAGATTTACAATATTAAAAAAGTGTTGCTGGATCTGAATAGTCCAACCTTACCTCATCCCCTGGAGCTCCTTATTCTGGGTGCCAAAGGGGCCTGAAGGGAGTTAATGTTATGCCAAGAGTAAATTTATGTTTCAGTTCAGCATTGGCACTACTCCTATTATCCCAGAGTAACCAAACCTTAAGACTGAGGCCAAGCCAAATCCCCTCTGAAGATTACAGATTTGGGATCCAACTTTCTGATATTCTTAAGAGTAAGGAACTCTTGCCTTCAGATCTCAAAACACCAGAACAAGAAACAGAGCACACCATGATTTATTTCTCTCTATGTCTGGCAGGTCTCAAGCAAACATTACTAGTTATTAGTCCCTGAACATTCAACCAGGTGCTATTCCAAGTTTGCCAACATCTAAAGCACCAATCCTTCTATCCAGCCTACTTTGCCAGCTTCCTCAGTACCCCAGGCCAGACTGTAGAACTTACCCATTCTGTATTTTTACACATTTAACATGTAGAGGTTTTGAGATTATTCTCAGCTCAGATAAGGAGGAAGTTCTTGTAGATACTTGATCTGCACGCCCTGTGTTTCTCCTCCCTGAGGAAGTGACCCTACATTCCCTAACACATGCATAGGCAATGAGGTCACTTAGGTGGTGCAGAGACTGCAAGTCACTCCCTCTGCTGGGATTCTGGACCACCTTCCAAACTGAACTGATGCAGCTGAAAGACACTGGCTCGGGGGCAAACAACTGCAGGTGCCTGGACACAGAACTCACAAACAGGAGGGACATCAGTTGCAGAAACCTTGCTGAAAAGCTTCTTTGTCTGAAGGAAAAACCACTTCTTGGACTGCAGCAGGGTGCCTCTGCCACTGCTGGTGAGTTGGGATGGGCTCAGAGGGACAGCAGCCTTGGCAGCTCCAGAGGGTTTCCTGTCCTTTGGCCAAGAGAAATAAAGAACTGAAAGGAGGGGAGTGGAGAGGGAGGATGAGCTACTGTATTTCTCACTCAAATATATTTTTGCTAGATTTGATAAATATAACTTGACCCAAACCTAAAAATGAAATGCTTGGGCATAAGGAGACAGTCACAGCATTTACATAGCTCAGTTTGGGTAGACAGCCCGGAATAGCGGTGGAGAATTTCCCCAAACCCAAGAAGACCAGACAGTATATTTGTTTATTTAGAGGTTTTCTGGTAGCACTTATGGCTATAATTATCTGATCTCTTTACTTAGACCAAAGATTTATTCAGCACAAAACCTTCTGAATTGAAAAACTGCCTTTCTGTTTAATGAACAAACAGCCCAGAAAATAAACAGCTCAAATGAGTTGCCAGGCTCATCAGGAAAGCCCGTGGCCTGTCCAGGGCCTGAACCATAATTACTTTCACACAGCCAGGGTGAGAAAACAATTTCAAGTAGCAATACAAACTTTTTTAAAGTATCTGCCAGGTTCTCACCCAGCTGGTGAATTCGGCTGACAGACGAAGTAACAGTGAACATATTGCTTGCATTCTGCTCAATCCACTCGCTCCCACAATTCTGCAACGAGGTATGGGAGAGTAAGATCAAGCCTCATTAATCAATACACCTCTAAAATACTGCATTTGAGGAATTTAAAGGCTTTATGTTGCAAACTGCATTACCTGTGCAATTTCACAAGAACAAATACAGATGAGACAACTTAATGAAATGGGCAAAGGGCAGAATTTTGAGTGGCACAGCTCATTTGAGAGGCAAATGAACAGTGTGGAAAAAAAGGCCTGCACAAGGAACAAGATTTTAAATATCTTTGCATTTACAGATATTTATGCCATATTTAACTGCTTTTGTGCATGAAACAAAATTACAAAGGATAGAAATTCCATAAACAAGGCCATTATGTCAATAACAATGTCTTTCTAAAGCAAGTCTCTAATTCAGTTATAAGGCTTGGAACACTCTTGTCTGGAGTTATAAACCCAGAAGTAATTACAAAGGAAAGTCTGCATCAGACAGTGGGTATTAGTGGAGTCAGGCCATGGCTTTGGGACAGCATTTACTCACTGCTTTCCTCCTTTTTGGACATAACTGATACAAACTTCTCTGTTTTCTCAGTTGCAGTGCAGATGTCGGGAAGTTGAAGCCGTTAGTGGACATTTGCAGGATGAATCATGGGGCACCACTTTCCATTTTGACAAAAACAACTGCTGTTCAGTCAACAAGATGATGCTGATCAAGTGGGTGGATGCAACGAGTTGAACTCCTGCAACTGCTGCCAAAAAGGCTCCACCAGCACAAGAAATCTGTGTGTGCTGACTCGAAGAACTCGGATTTATTTTTATTTCCCTGTTCTTAAGAGACTTCTCACAGTTTCATGTTCCCACTCCTACACCTGAGGGGCTCAGCCTGGCCACCAGCTTTGACCTGCCACCAGAGAAAATATTTGTTGCTGGAAAAGAGTAGATTAAATAAACTGGGGGGGGAAAGGCAGATATGTTTTATGGAACATGAAGTGCTATAGGAGACAAGAAAAACAGCTTCTTCTGGTGCCTATTGCCAAAATTTCAGAAGACCAGACAACAACTTTAACATTTCCAAGGGAACAGCCACTAAGACAGTCAAAAATAGAATTAGGAAACTGCCTGTTTCAAAAGTAAGAGTCTGCAAGATGTGCCAGCATTTTTCAGTATTTCTGTCATTTCTGAGAAGAACACTGAAGAGTTAACACACATCTATCTGAGGAAAAAAAATAGCCAACCCACAGAAAAAGGCAAAATGAGAAAGGAAATCCATGTAGTGAAGGAATGCTCATCACATTCCATGTATTTAAAATAAAAGTCTCTGATCACTTCTGCGCACATTCATCCAGTGCTTATTTTTCTCTGCAATTTTCAAGTGTCTGCACTTCCTTAGGCATCAGATACAGCAGCAAACCAAGGACAGCTTCACTGCAGCCTGCTGTTCAAAATGTGGATAAATCTACACATGCAAAAAAGGTAACACTCAATGCTCTTCCCCGAAAGAGTAAAGTAAAATTTATGTGTTCTTTTTTATTTAACGGAATTTTTTTATTTCAATGACTAAATGTAAGACTTAAAGGGAGTATCTTTATATTTTATTATTCCTCACTGTTAGTTTTCTGATATATAGGTTATAATGTGGCATTCATTAACAATTCATAGAGAATTACCATATTCAAGTAGCACAGCAAGTTTTTACTACCTACACAGGCAAAACACTGCACAGCCCTACTTGTTCCCCTTACTTATTGTCCCAGAGGGATCACATGCTGGAAAACCTTGCATTTTATCACCTAACAGGGAAGGAATTCCAACAGGTATCCATTAGAACCTCTAAGGAACCCTGAACAGAAAAGCATTTCATTAAATTTTTGCTGATCACTGACAATGCAGAGCTGCACAGGAAAATTAAGGACTAGAGAGGATGTGTGCTGGAGGCTGCCTTAGAATTAACAACCCCAACGGGATGGTGGAGCAATGTCCCACTGCTTTGAACTTTTTGGTAGGTTTGAGGGTGATGCAAATAAAAGACCCAGAGGTATCAGCTTTGTTTCCAAAGGACTCACACTGGAAGTGCCTGAATGGAAGCAGAGCTGCAGGGTCTGCCCAGATGCTCGGGGAGCACCACGGGGAGCCCAGCAGCAACAAATCTGGGACAAACTCACACAGGGAGCTGATGAAGCACAAGGAGTTCAAGTCTCAGGAGGTCTACAAGCCCTCTAATGTAGATCAGGATTTCAGGGAAAAAAAGGCTGTTGGTAAGGTTTGATTCCCCACACAGCAATGACTTAGAGTTTCCATCTCGTTCTTCCTCCCTGCATCTTTTACAGCTGCTTGAACAGAATCAGTTGATCATTGCAATACCTTAATAACTCATCTATTTTACAGGTCAGGAAATGAAGGCACCTAAATTACTGACTAAATATCACAAGTTAT